AAAAAAAAAAAAAAAAAAAAAAAACCTAGGAAGATAAACTTTTAATTTATTCCCCTAGTTTTTGTAAAATTTTCCAAGCCGCCAAATATTCAAACTCACGCGTAATAACTTGTAGCCCAAGGCTCAAAAAAGAAAAAAGAAGTTAACGGTCAAAAAATCCAAAGAACAAGTTAGACGGTTATGGACTGACCCTTCTCCTCTCTCCGCACTTCTCTCTCCGTTCTCCAAACAAAAAATCAAGAAATTCTCATTTTCAAGAACCCATAAACTGTTTGATCATAGGTCGCTTAGGAAATTCAATGCAATCAACATGGGAGTTCACAGAACAATAAGCACATCAGGGCCTCGATGGGTTACCCGTGATCTTCTCCCCGGAGTCGTTTCAGCTGCAACGGTCGTCTTTCTGCGCATGTCAATCTCATCATTCTCATCACCAATTTGCAAGCCTATAATAGACCGAGTGGGTTTGATATCTTTTTTTCTAATACTACTTGTACTCGCTGCGTTGCATGTTCTTGAACCCATTGGCCAACTTTCAAGACACCTCTTTGGGATCGAAACCCCAATTGGTTATGACCCCTTTGAATCTTTAAAGAATCATCTGCAGCCTTTGGGTTTGGGTGCTCTGGTTGTGGCGTTGTTCTTCTTGGGGAATTACCAGTCTTCCGTTCATGCCACCTATTGGGGGATTTAATTTGTTCAAGGCACCCACTAAGATTTTGTCTTCAATTATCGGTTTACACGTCTTTAGTTCGTTTGGGTACAGGAAGATTTGTGATTGTTGTACATATTCTTCATTGTTGTAACTTGTAATTAATGACATACTAGTAGTGTTACCGAGGAAATGGAAACACTTACTGTGTGAATTATAAACTACAGTCTACATATAATTCATTATTATTTGCTCAATCAAGTGTCCTGTTTTCATTGTCATTGATCATCCATTTAGATACACGTTTGGTAAATCGCTGATCCGGAAGAGAGTAGGACGTTACTCGGCTTCATACCAAAATTGAACCTTCAGAGAACAAGAAGAGGGAACAAGCAACCAGTGAAGCTGAAGAGGAATTAATCCCACAATATTTCTTCCTTTAAAAAGGTAGTTTCTTCCCTCTAATGATGAACATAATCTTGCTCTTCCATTGCCTCATCCCGGCTCTATGAAAAAGCAATTCATGAATCGACATATGGGTACGTATATTTGTTTAATACAAAATTTAGATATAAGGAAAAAAAGGAAATAACTATTCTTTGATGAGTTAAAAAGTTAATAGTTAATAAATTAAATTAATGAAGCAGCACTGCACTTTATTTATAAAAAACCAACTCAGTAAGAGCACGGTCATGCAAAACCAAAGAGATTATTTTCAACACCAACTTAAGGGAGTCCTCAAAGAATATATGAGTAACTTTGGCAGTTGTAAAGTTTGGTCAAGGAAGCAGGACTGGGCTGGAGGTTGGGTTCGGGATGGGAGAGAAGAGAGGGGTAGAGGGATAGAGGGATAGAGGGATAAAGAAGTGAGAAGATAAAGAGCTAAAATTACTAGAATGCCATGCTACGTTATCACACTTAAAGATTTTGTGGATGGAAGTGGTAAAGTGAGAAAATTTCAGTTTAGGGGGTAAAGTGAGACCAAGCGTCTATTTCAGGGGGTAAAACAGTAAATAAGCCTAATGTTGTTTTCTTTCCAGTTATGTAATTTTTAAAGATTCGATTATTTGTAAACTTAAAAAAAATCAATGTGACTTTTTTAATAGAGATTTGGATGGAAATTGCCAAAAACTGACGGTATGGGCTAAATTGGAGATAAAATTTAGTATGAGGGCTAAATTGGCAGGAAAAAAAAATTCACGATGGACATTTAGACAAGCGTGATAGTTCATGG